TATGTGTCTTGTGTGATTAGCTGTGAGCAGGTTGCAATGGGCTATGCAAACCAACAAACTAATATCAGAGCAAGAGTGTGTGTGTTACTTGCTGCGTCACGTCTAGGGAATCGTATGGTGGTCTGTCATGGACTCCTTTGCGCCATGAGAAACACCCGTTGCCCTTCCCTTCTCCGCGCCGTGGCCGGCACCATGACAACGGCGGCCAAATCGTTGTACACCACACTGTCAAAGATGCATCAAGGACTATCGAGTATCCGATGCTGATCAAGACAAACTATCCAGAAGGGAGCTTATAATGACCATCAACCTCCAGGTGCAAGGCATGTGGGCAACAATCGAGCCCGACAACGTGAATATAGCGAGGCTGGATTGGCGCTAGTAGCGATCGTCTGTTAAATCCCGCTTGAGATGGTGTTCACCATGGAGAAAGTCGAATGAGGCGTGGAAGACGGTCAAAATCATGCGGATGAGCGTCGATCGAGTTTGCGAGGGCAATGCCCAAAAACTACGGCGCGACTTCAACAACATCGTCTTGAAGGATGGAGAGTCTGTTGACGACTTCTACATGCGCATCATCAGCCTCGACAACAACTTTCCTCTTCTCGGCCACACCATCAACGAGATCGAAGTAGTGCAAAAAAATATTACAGCTCGTTCCCAAGCGATTTGATCAAGTCGCGATCTCCATCAAGACGCTGCTCGACTTTGGGACGATGATTGTCGAGGAGGTGACGGAGCGATTGCGCGCCGTCGAGTATAGACTTGAGGCGCGCAAGCTGACTACGGAGATGAACTCGCGGCTGGTCCTCTTCACCAAGAAGGAGGAGATGATCCGTTGCATGCGGCAACGAGAGAAGGAGACCGTGCGTGTTGGTGATGTAAACATTGGTGGCGGCGGCTTCGGCAGCAATTCCAAAATTTGCGTCCCGGCTTGTCACAATCGAGTCGTGCGCGTGAAGCGCCACGCAAGGCCGCCAAGGGAAATCCGTGCCGCTATTGCAAGAAATATGGGCGCTGGGAGCAAGATTGCAGGAAGAAGAAGCGCGACGAGGCGGCGAACTTGGTTAAGGCTCAAGGAGACGAGGAGGACGAGCCAGCCCTCATGATGGTCCATGTGGCATCGATCATCTCACCAACACATGATGAGATGGTGACAGCGGACGGCCAAGTCTATCTTAACAAGGACCGGGCCACGGTGCAAATAGGGGACACAAGCAAGCTCGAGCAAGCTCGCAAAATGTGGTACTTGGACAAAGGCGCGGCGAACCACATGATCAGAAACATCGCAGTCTTCTCCGAGTTAAACCGCGGCATCACCGATACGGTGAAGTTCGGCGACGGTTCCCTTGTGGATATTCTCGGGCGCGTCACGATCATCTTCTCCGCACGACGGGAGAGCTACCGCGTGCTGACCAAAGTATACTACATCCCACGTTTGCATAGCAATACCATCAGCCGAGACTAACTCAATGAGTTCGGCTGTTAGGTGTTGATCGATCAAGGAGTCTTACGGGTGCGCGATTTGCAGAAGGGGCTACTCGCCAAGGTTTGTTGGTCACAAAACCGCTTTTATAAGATCACGTTCACAATTGCGTAGCCTGTCTCACTTCTGGCACACACCAGCAACAACGCATGGCGTTGGCAAGAACGATACGGACATGTGGGCTTCGACGCGCTTCAAAAGCTCGGTCATGGCGAAATAGTTGACGATCTGCCACAGTTGGATCATGCTGATCAACTGTGTGACGCGTGCCTGGCTGCAAATAGCGTCATGCACCGTTTCCTCAAAAGGCTAAGTACCGGACGACATAACGACTTGATCTAGTACATGATGATATATGCGAACTTGTCACCCCGGCGACACATGGCACACACAACTAATTCCTCCTTCTCGTTGACGACGTCAGCCGATACATGTGGCTGGAGCTCTTGTCGAGCAAGGGCGAGGCTCCCGACGCTATCAAGAAATTCCAGGCTTAAGTCAAGGTGGAGAAAGGATGCAAGTTGTGCGCACTACGCACTGATCAGGGTGGAGAATTCACCTCCGTCACTTTTGGCAAGTACTGCGCAGAGAAGAGCATTCAACGGCAGCTTACGGCACCATATTCTCCACAACATAATGATGTTGTGGAGTTCAAAAATCAGTCGGTGATGGCCATGGCGCGATGTCTCCTCAAGCCAAAGTCAATGCTCAACACCTTTTGGGGGGAGGCAGTGAACATTGTAGTTTTCATTCTAAATAGGTTGTCAACGAAAGCTCTGCACGATATGACGTCGTATGAGGCATGGCACGGAAAAAAGCTGGCAGTTCACTTCATGCGCACATTTGGCTGCATTGCGCATGTGAAGATGACACGCCGCACGCTAAGAAGGTCGACGACATGAGCATAAAGATGGTGTTTGTTGGAAATCAACCGGGCTCAAAGGGCTATCGAATGTATGACCTAGTGAGTGGTCGGCTTCACATCACCCGAGACATAGACTTTGACGAGACCAAAAGATGCAATTGGGTTGATTCTGGCGAAAGTGTTGCTCATGAGACTTTCACTGTTGAATACACAGTGAACACATCCCTGGTGGTGGATAGTCAGAGGCGCATGTATCTCCAACGGCCTCACATGTGTATGAACCATACGAGGAGGAGCAACATACTTTGGTGGCTTGCGAGCAAGCAGAGTACGTTAACCGCATCAAGTTCGTTTCGCCGATGTGTAGCATGCCATATGGGATGGAACACGACAATGAAGGTGCACCACGACGCTACCGCATAGTGGCAAATTGTGTCGCCACCTCTATGCTGCGAAAACTCGACCTAGATGAACTCCTTCTCGTCGCGTCGGAGAAGCCAAACACATTCAAGGAGGCGAAAATCAATCCGGCGTGGCAAGCAGCAATGAAGGAGGAGTTGACGGCCATTGTCGACAATGAATAACGAAGTCTGGTGAATCTCCCCACCGGCCATCGTCCGATTGGTCTGAAATGGATGTACAAGTTCAAGAAGTACGCAAGTGAGGCAGTGATCCGTCACAAGGCACGGCTTGTGGCAAAAGGGTACGTACAACGCGTTGACATCGACTTTGAAGAAGCATTCGCTCCGGTGGCGAGGCTCGATTCGGTGCGCGCACTGCTAGCAGTGGCGGCACATGAGGCATGGGCAATGCACCAAGTCGACATCAAGTTGGCATTCCTGAAAGGGGAGCTTGAAGAGAAAGTGTACGTAGCACAACCTCTGGGGTTTGCCGTGACGGGGCACGAGCGGCAAGTTCTGAAGCTGAGGAAGGCCCTTTATGATCTTCGTCCAAGCACCTCGTGCATAGAACATGAAGCTCGATCACACTTTGGTAGAGCGCGGCTTCTGCAAATGCACGGATGAACATGGAGTGTACACGCGTGGCAAAAGACAGAAGCGCGTGCTCATGGAAGTGTACGTTGACGACCTAATCGTCACCGGTGCCGACCAAGGCGAGGTTGAAGCGTTCAAGGAAGAGATGAAACGCTTATTCAAAATGAGCGATCTCGGGTGCCTAAGCTATTACCTGGGCATCAAGGTCAAGTAGCAACAGGGGCGAATCACCCTATCACAGACGGCGTACGCAGCCAAACTACTTGAGAATGCCGGCATGACCGACTGCAACACCGTCCAAGTTCTGAAGGAGAATTGTCTAAAGTTGAGTAAGCAAAGCACAACTCCTCATGTTGATGCATCTTACTATCGCAGCATTTTGGGAAGTCTGAGGTATCTGGTTCATATTTGGCCAGACATCGGTTTTGCGGTTGGTTATGTGAGCTGATTCATGGAGAATCCCATCACGGAGCATCTCGGCGCTGTCAAGCACATTCTTCGGTACATAGCAGACACACTGCACTACGGACTGAGCTACACAAAGGGCGAAGGTGATATCAAGCTCAATGGTTATAGTGATGCATACATGAATGGAGATGTGAATAACTGCAAGAACACTATGGGTGTTCTATTCTATTTTGGGATAGGGCCAGTAACATGGCATTCTTAGAAGTAGCTAGTGGTGGCGCTATCATCATGCGAGGTCGCATACATTGCAGCCTCTACAACAACTTACTAGGGCCTTTGGCTTGGAAGTCTCCTTGGGAGCTTCTACGGGAAGGCAACGAGTGTCGCCACCATCTTCATCAACAATCAATCAGCCATCCAATTATGCAAGAATCCGGTGTTTCATGGCTGGACAAAGCACATCAAAACTTCATAAGAGAATGCATCGAGGACGGTGAAGTCATCGCACAAAAGATTCACACTTACGATCAGTTGGCGGACATTCTTACAAAATCACTTAGCCGAATCAGATTCCTAGACCTGCACTCGAAGATCGGTGGCGTCAACATTCTCGACAACTAGATTAGGGGGAGTAATGTTAGATAATCTTTGTTGTCTACGAGTTTTAGTATAATCTGTCTGTAGTTGCAGGTGGCAACTGTTATTAGCATAGTGACTGCTCTCTCTCTCTATATGCGTAGTGTAGTTTGGTGATTCAACTCCTGCGTGAAGTTCATGATGTGTGAGTAAGTCCGGGTACTAAGGCATGTTCATAATGGCGAGTAAGTGCAGGTTAGTGTTAGTAGTATAGAAACCCCTTTACATAAGAAAAGGCAGCAAAATGACTTGCTTACTTTTCTTGCTAGTGTGAGTTGTGTTACTCTATTGTGTATGTTTACTGTATTGTGTTGTACAGGTTGCAACAGGGCAGTTGGTCGAACAGTTTGTTTGTCTTGTGTGATCAGGTATGGGGACCGTGCAAACGAACATTATTGTAGATTCATGGTCTGCAGAGATCAACACTGAGAATTCGTAACAGTACTGGTGTTTATGACCCATGGTCTTGAAACTAGAACTGAGATCGAGATTGAAAATTCGTACCTGTTCTTATGAATATGACCTGTGGTCTTGAAACTAGGACTAAGATCTACATCGAGACTAAGATTTCATACCAGTAATGGTATATTAGAATCCTCTGAAACAGCTGCTCCACTTCCCAGGTTCATTTGCAAATGCTTGGAAGCGCATGGTAGCTCAATTGACTTCACACATCTCACGCAAGCGACTGGTAAGAGCAATTTGCGTCATTCACTCCGCCATAACACTGAAGACTGACACTTCCACCCCTCATGGGGCTATGCACAAAATTCAGGTTGGTGATGGCTGTTCTGAGCTCAACTCATGCATGTTCGATGATTGATATTCAGGTACAAAGTCCAAGCATACAGTTGGATTGGACATGGAGCAGAAGGAACTGACATGAGGACAAGAGGATTTTCCATTTGCCAAAAACAGGTCAGAACTTACATTCCGATTTTCTGAAGTCCTGAAGCGTGCAGCAGTGCATCAATTCGCGATGTCCGGCAGCTTTAGGATAAATTTCTGAAAATCTTTCAAAGCAATATGAAATTTCCTTCTGTTGAAGAGAACAAGATGCAAGAACCAACGGAGAGTTCACAATGACTTGCAAGCTCATGCTCTGATAATACAGACACTCATGAGCCTAATTGGAGAAATCAATGCGGTATCTGTACGAAACTTGAACTTTGAGTCAATAAAGACAAGCAATGTTCTGCTCAGTCCATGAATTGCTCGATGGCTTGCGCAAAGCTGACCCTTTTTACAGTAGTTTAGGTTCCTCGTGCTTGTTACTTTATCATCGCCCTATCTAGACCAAACTACTCCCCGAATCCATTTCGAATTACAAGTATTCTACTCCCGTTATGGTGTTTCTTGCTGGTTCTATCTTAACCAGAGAGAATTACACCAGCTGCAGCAAGTTCAATACAGCCATCACCTAAATTTTACACATACCTAAAGTCGAATCTCAATTTTAAGGCATCGAAATTCTTAATATAACTGGTACATGTTTACGGCTGAATTTGTGACTGTGAGATGAGAGCAGACCGTGAAATTGCAAGATCCGAAGACTCTTGTTCGAAGAATCTGAATCTATGAGAAGTTCGTATAAGAGCTCGTGGGAAGCGAAGTCCTGTTTCTGACAGACTGTTCTGAAATTCCTATTTCCTTTGACAGCATGGGTCGTCTATTCCATAGATCGATGTTGGATCCAACATCCATTACAGCATCCAAGATTACAACTCAAGATTAACATCCAGAATTACAGATCAATTCTGCAACATCCTTGATTACAGCTCAGATAAAACCACCAATTCTTATCACGTCGCTTCAAAATCGATACTCGTGGACAATCGTGTAACTTGATTCGACGAGCTTACACAGTCGTCATCATAGGATCACCAGAGACCTGTATGAACAAGACATAAGATTGCAAAAGCACTTTTGATGTTGATGTTGTGCTCTCATAGAAAATGACATGTCTAAATTGGCTCACGACTCCCCACCAGAATTAAGAAGTGAATGGCACGTGCACACGTCTGCATGAATCGGCTGCAATTGGGAGTACGATACGCGACAGCGCAAGAAATTCATCACCGTTTCCAAGACGCATGTCCTCAGTACGGTAACAGTCTTGGCCGAGCTATTCACAAGTCTGCTGTTGCAGCGTCCAATAGTGCGGTGCTGACCTTTCCCTTCATCTCTTCCATTCGGAATAGAACCTTACAAGTATTGCTGGGTCCCGTTACAGTTCAGTGCTTACTTTAATGTATCACTGTGCGACTCTACTACTGACACCCTTCTCGTGAGAACAGATCTGAACCTGGTCTCTAGCACAGAATTGAGAACTGGAATATGAGTAAGAAAGAAGGCTATGAAGGCAGCCTTTATTCATACATTCGTTTTGTATATTTGCTGATTGAAGAGACTGATAAGTAGGAAGCTGTCAACATACACACTCTCAGAGGCCACTCAACTCAACTCAGCATGCATAAGTCTACGTTCCATGTACGTCAATCCTCCGGTTGTTCGTAGTAGACTTGAATCTGAATTCATAGTCGTACTGCAGTGGTTGTAGTCGAACAAGCGTACACATACGTAAGTATGGTCTACCTGCGCCATGGGGCTTGGTAAGACGATTGACCCTTTTTTGTGTCTTGTCAGGTACAATCTTTCTGCCTGGATGATGTTCACAACCGAATGTGTTGTTATTCAGCATACGGATGGAGGATTGTATAAACCGAATACATGCAGTAATGAGGAGAACTGAACGGTGTTGAAGCAAGAAGCTGGTGAACTGTTGGAAAGTTCAACTCGAATTGCAGAATTGGACGCTCAGATACTCATCTCAGTCCACTGATAGTCTTGACCCTGAGATTGTCCATCGAAGACACAGTCACACACGGCACCATTATCACGTTTTCTGCACCATTGCCGTATGTCTGACCTGACTTTGACGTTTGAGATCATTTTCAGGGTTATTCTCCACATGTACAAGTTATCGGCTCTCGATTCTTTTTCTCTTTCATAGCCAGTATGATGTTCATTAATAATTATGTCTGATAGTTGAAGAAAGAAATAGCGGGCCTCTGGTGTTTCCTTCAAGTCAAATGTTGTGAGTCATGACTCACAACAACATATTTGAACCAGATGTAGTCAGATGCTCATACTTGCTCTTTAGGGTAAGAGACTCCAATTCGTCAAAAGATGAAGTATCAAATGACGCCGCCCGGGGGGCTCGAACCCCCGACCACAAGGTGAAGAGCCTTGCGCTCTACCAACTTAGCTAGGGCGGCTGATGATAATTCCTGCTTTGAATAGGAATATAAATTACAGACCCAGGAAGATTATTTCAATATGGTGGTAATACCTTATTTTATGCATCCCCAATTTTCCTTAATTCACCCATGCTAGCACCAGGCTGAAACTAATCTCCAAGCTGACGTGAAACGCGGAACACTATTTACAAGGAAACTCAGCACTAATGTGTGTCTTCACAACTATGCCACTTGTTTAGTTCATCTTTCATCGTCTCATATTGTTTACTTGAGTATAGTACATTTTGCTACATTTTCAGGCCAAAATCAGTAGGTAATCAATAAGTAGTAACCATATTAGGTGATTTAAGGTTACCTTAAAGACTGGAACATCAGGTCATCATGATTGAACATGAGTTTAGCCAACGAGCATCTATAATTTCCTTATTAAAAATTATCTTATTAACATTCTTACTTAATGACAATCACGTGTAGAAAGTGAGGTGAAATCTGAGACTGGAAAACCTTATATTTTTGGTTAAAGTTCCTAACTCTCTCGTAGGGTATTGTCTATGCCATTTAAGAAAATAAAATTAAATGTGGTTTCTACGTTATAGCTAATTGTGCACTTTGTACGGATTGTTTTAGATTTGCAGGCTTTCAGCTATCTGCTTTTATCTTTCTTTGAATATTAGAGTAATAATATCTTCAGTAGATAACGTTTTTGCAGAATTACTCCATAATTGTAATGATTATAAGTTCGACTTTGTACAATGATAATTTCCTTGAAAATACATTTACATGTGAATATTTATTCAAGCAATGTCCTCATGTTGGTACTTGATAAATTAAAAAAATCCAACTTACATTCGTTTTTGTGTAAAAATATAAAATATCACCGGTTGCACATTTTTTGTTCAAAGCTTCTTCTAGATTCAGAGTTTATTTCATGAAAGGTTTCATCATTATATTCTGATGTCGGATAAAGCTTTGCAATAAAACATGCGTCATGTGTTTGCGAACAGACATGGACCGTTGCTGCCTAATAAAGTAGAATTAAATAATTACAGGAAGGGAAAAGGTACCCCGATATTTGAGACAAAAGATGAAAGCAATAGCTACAGGAGATAGTCAAAGTCCATAGCTGGGTATTGAACTTTTGCCAGATGATAAAGAAACTGTCGATTTCAGAGAAAAAACAGGGAAACAATCTTTCTTAGATTTCTTATACATTGAGTTTCTTCGCTTTGGTTTTCTTGGGAATCACTTTTGACAAGGACGATGATGATGTATTTCTAGTGCTGCAACTTTTTATTAACCAAGATTTGAATCTCGTGATATAGTTCGTGCGTTCTCCCCTTAATCACACATGCTTTTGAGCAGGATCTAAAAAGCCCAAAAGTCTCATAACCTTGTGGTTCAAAGGCTGTAACGTATGAAGCAGTCTAGGCCCGAGGCCGACACATGGTACCGCATGTCATGTCGAGTCCAGGAGGTACGTGATGTCACGACCAATTCTTGACGCTCACCAGACACTTCACAGATCGGACGAGGATCTGAAGTAGCAGCAGCAGTAACGGTACTGAACACGGTACATACCCGGAACCATGAACGAGCCGGATTGATTATTATATCGACGGTAACGGTTGAATGCCATTGGATCTGCTAATGTGCTGCCGAGTATACATGTAACCAGGAGGCTGCACTGGCCTCCTGGTTTATGTAACGGAAGGGTACTGTACAATGCTAAGTCTACTAGGTCTATCGAATAAGGCAGTGATTTTCCGGGCTTTTTTTTCCCCTTTAACAATCCCATGAACAAGAAATATTTCGTCACACAATATCGGAATCATCATTATTCCAATATTGTGTCACACATTATTCAACAATGTGTCTGAATAATAATGTCCTGACTCCGAACAAAGTAATTCTGTTAATAATCTGTGAACTCGAATAATTTTTTATTAGATTATACCGGTGGCTTAATCCTGAAACGAGTTACTATACTAAAATACTATCTAATACATATGATTTTAGTATACCCAATATTTTATCATTTTAGATAGTGAAATTTCTATAGATAGTATCTATAGAAATTTCACTATCTATAAGCGGGGATTCAGTATAAAGGCCATGGTTTCTCAACTTTGCGATAAATGCTTGGCTACATGTGCATGATACTGTCAAAATAGTCCACCAGAAGAGTAGACTGACGGCAGAGAACGCCATCGGTTTTCATCTTACAGCGTTTCAAGATCGGCACATTTTATGATGCGACAGATGACATTTCATTTAGAGCCCGTGAAATGTGTCATACACATTACAGTTACTCTCCTGGAGGACGAAAACGCTGGTACTTTTATTTTTCTACTATTTTGGCCTTTTACTATGATACAGCATAGCCCTCCGACATTTATTGAAGAGTTTTGTCTCTACAGGTGTACATGAGCTTTGGTCAACTCCAGCACATTTATTGCTATTGACGCTAACCAATAAATTTGCAAACAGAACTGTGCTTCTGCAACCAGTCAAGTACGTCGAGATCCCAATTTCTTGCAGACAGTACATGTTTACGTCTTGGTAATGAACAACCCCCGGCATACAAATTTACATTAGTTCATGCGCGCAGCATCCTCGTCCCTCGACGTTCGAGCAGGATCAATCCGGAACTCGGTATCTCATGACAGTTGGTAAATTGAGAAAACGGTACGCATAAAGAGCAGTGGAAAAACCCAAGATCCAAATAATTTTCTGATCAGATCAAACTTTAAAGCTAACCACCATTTAAGTCTAAGGCCATCATTATTGGCTCCAATTTACAATAGCCACCTACATCGAAATGGAAAAATTTGCAGGATATAAGACTTCTTAACTCTAAAAGAGTTTTCAAATCACAGCTTTTGCAGTGAAAGGTGCCGGAGAATTGACCATGTGTTATGGGGCAACGTAGTGACTGCCCACCGGGTGGAGACTTGGTCCACTGGACTAATGTCAGGATTCTAATTATCGCAGATTGTGCATGGGCGGGCACTGACGATGGCTTCCACGACTGACTGACTGTATAGAAACGGAGCAGAGCGCAGATCGGGCGCAGAAGTGTCGCAGATGGGACAATCTGATCTACCACAGGTGCTTCCACAGGAATCCAGAGCTGAATAATGCTCACCAGATGTCTGAGTATCAGCGTGTCGGATTTCACGCGAATCATGGCCAAGCTCTTGTAACAAGAAATTGGAAAGTTCGAATCTGCGCAGTTCGAGTGGATCCTGAATTCGGATGGAGTTGGGATCGACTGCAACGGCATCAGCATTACAGTGGCTGGCTTGTCCAGTCATCACTCGGCACTGAACTTGCGTGGGACAGGATAAGTATGATATTGTACAGCTAATTATTGTGTTGAAACACTTGCAGTGTAAATCTGGCGAGGAATAAAGGATATAATGTGTAGTAAATTTGAGATAGTTTTTAATTTGATCACGAAGGTGACGCGCTCAGATCTACAGGTGATACCTCTGGAAAAAAGTACCTCTGTAGAATCTGAAGAGCGAAATTTGTAATCGTTTTTTCTTTCGGAATATTAAGACCCTTATTTTATCATGACCTCAAATCCTGACATATAATCACAATGAGCGTAGATCTATCATGAGGACTAGAAAACCCACATTCTTTTATTTACCGAAATTCACGTTGATTGACTAGTTTAAAGGACTAATTTCGAGGAAATCAACGCATTATATTTCGTTAGTATTTGAAGAAATTGCGGTGTCCTGTTAGCAAATCAACCTTTTTTTTCAAGCGAATTTTAATGAATTCAGACCTTGTTATTCACCATTTTGTGAACAAGTCTTAAATGTTATATGAGTTCGACCCGAAGCCAAAAAGAGCAGTTAAGAAACTGCCTTCTGCAATGAAGGCTATGATTCTTGCTCGCAGTCTGCCTGGATACAAAAGGAAACTTCCTGGAGAAGGAATGTCGCTTATCTGATTTGTAGCAGCGACATACCTGCATGGATCAAACCATGAACCGCACATTTTTGTGCTGACATTTACTGGTTCGCTCTTCTTAGTTGTTGGATTAGAGAATTTGCCATTCCCCTTAGTGGACTAATTTCTGACTGAAGGAGCAAAGCCCTTCGACAATTCACTTGATCTTATATTTTCCGACAATTATTTGGCTATTTGAAATTAGTAAAACATCATTCGATTTCAGGCAGATACTACGCAGTATCAGAAGATGAGTCCAAGAAAAGACAAGAGGGCTTTCCTATCAGCCTCAGCCAGCCATAGCAACAAATCTAAATCAACACCAATGATTCTGGCATGACAGGATCAGTGGACTATGTTTGTGGAGTAATTGAAATTTGACCAAGGTTTTGTCTGAGTCATTGAGCTTGAAGACTACATCTGGTGCACGATCAATGCCCAAAAGAACCTTTCGAAGAAGACTTTGGACACAGAATCTTCTAGCAAAACTGTCTTCGATTGTGGATACATTAAGCAGCTGTTTCCATGGAAAAAGTTCTAATTTTCATACATTTACATGTTCAACTCTGTAACCCACCTTCTTACAGAAACTCAAGAGAGGATTGTTGAATTTTTATCATATATGTGTGCTCTTGATATTCTTCCCAGAATATGAACTATGCTTGAATTATTGTGCTGACCTGAAACGCTCTGAAAATCATTAGCATTCAGTCATGCCCGTAGGAATGACAAGAGACTTACAATCTCGGAGATTCCTTTGATCTCCAACCTGCACATGAAACTGAGGTATAAACTCCAGTCTGAATCATTGAGGCCATACGAAAGCCTTCTTCATGAGAGAATAGGAAGAAGCACATTTCACCTGTCATCGAAATCCAACAAAATCCACTCCATTCCTTTCACGGGTTGTCCATCAGCCTCCAATGTCTCTCATAGTACACACTGTAAACTTGATTCTCCATTTGATCACCCGTCTTCTTACATGATCGTCGAACGGAGCCTTTTCGTGAGACTTGAATGAATCAGCTTCTGCAAGATTCTTCTCCTGAATTGCGAGATCAACTTCGCCCAACCTGTCCAGTGAGATACTGACAGTTGAAGTTACTAAACTCTTGCTATACGCATTATAGCGGACGAGTGGCATTGAACAAATGCAGCTGTGAGCAGAGCAACCTGGAGGCTGTTTCATGCTCTCGAGACGGGAATACAGGCCACGGGATCTGGACCTCCGAGTAAGTTCATAGCTTCATCTACTCCATGCCGATGGAAAGACGAAACTGAAACCGATTGTAAGGTAGATAATTTGACAAAATCTCGTCCTCATTTCATCACTAGAAAAACGAAGCGATCTCAGGGGATGATGAAGTGATCTCTGAGGCCTATTTCACGCTGAAGAGATGCTATTGTACAATTTTGCGCCATCGGGATAAGAATTGCGAGCGCTGCTCTTGTGGGTAGTACAGAGTCAGCAATCCGAGCTAGCGTTGCTACGAATTCATCTTAAGAATCTGCTGAAGCCAGTGAAGGTAACGGAGCCTTACACAACAGTCACGTCCCGTGTTTGTCCCGAGCGACAAATCGGAAGCTGTCGGCTTTTCAACTGAAAGCACAAAACAGACATCTGAGCGAGAGGCGTACTGGAAGAGTAGGAACCGGAGGGACATAGTAAGTGCTGAGCGCAGTCACTTTAATCCTGCGGGGAAAGTAAAAGCTGAATGTCTGAAGGGCTGAAAGGCTATTTGAAGTAGATTCCCTGGTGGTTTCGAACGTCATTCAACAGGACGGACATCTTTCGATGATTTAGCCACCAATATTTTACCCTCGAACATTCGCTCTTACATGCATTCTCGTCACATGTGCACCAGTGGTTGTCCCGACGGGAGCCTAGCCTCAGACTCTAATACACGACCTGGTCACTGTCAAACGACACGGAATAATTGGCCCAATGCAGGACATCGCATACATTCTCATCGCAGTGGGAAAGATTCTCCACACAGCTATGGAGTACAGAGTTGAGGCGAGGCGAATTTAGTGAGTCTTAGGGGAGCAGTAGACGAATTCCGTCGAGATTTAGGCACATGCCAATAGAGCGCATGGCCATGTGGCTAAAGCTCGTCAGCAGCTATGAGCACATGCAAGTGATATCCAAGAGCTCGCATGTACGTACGGCTGGTGGAGCAAAACGTCCTCAACGTACACCAAAAAGCAGGACTCGAATATTTTAAGAGCTGGACACGACCTCGGAACTACCCTCTGCAAAGCTTCTTCACTGCCCATGATGTAAAGGCTTTCCACTCCACTACAAAGTGTTCTCTCTGTCTCTGATCTCGCCCTTTCTTGCAGCAGCCCGCAGGACCGCCGTACCTCGTCACGTTGAAACAACTGAAACCGAAGTACGTGAGTGTCAGAGCTACTCGGATACATTCTGAACTCAGAGATCGATGTCACTCAGAGTCGGAGCTGCTGTCCGATTTGGGCAGCACCAGCCACAAACTTCTGCCCTCGTCGAGCTGAGCTCGCTGCGGCGAAGTACTGTACTGCTGCACAGGCACATTTCTTTTAGTTTTCCTGTTTTACATTGACGGTCGCTGACCATTGTCAAAAGGAGCAATTTGTCAATTCTGTCACATGCACAACATCTCGAGGGCAGGCAGGTGAAGTCAGCAGCTGCAGCTGCTGAGCCGCTGAGGCCCTCCATCTCCATCTCACAGACACGCTTTTGCAGAGAACCCAACGGACATGCACCGTTGCAGGCCTGGGCCTCTTTGTAGATCCGCTTTCGATGCCTTTCCCAGCATATTTTTCTATTTCTCTTCATGGTTTGTACCCGAGGTATGGTTTCAGTCCATCTTCTGCACCTCTCTCTTTCTCTGTGTGCATGGATTTAACCTATCAATCCATAGGTTGTGTAACCTGGAAGCCAGCAAAAGAACAAATAAATTTCGATAGGTGGAGAGGTCGTCCTGGCGACGACTATTGAAGATTGAGATAAAATCAATCTGTGGTGTGTCGACATTTTATCTCATCCGCCAAAAGTATTTGAGTTTTTTGGTTGTTTATAGTTTCCGATGAAATATAGCTCGTTAGATAAAATATAACAACATTTATGATAAGGAAATTGAATAGAGTATTTCAGCATGACTGATTTTTACAAATTATCCCATTTAGAGTACCGTGTTTTTACAGAAAGTCGTTGCCGAAAGAAATAAAGATTGGAAAGAGATTTTTTCAACGAAATTTGAAATTATGTCTACCATACATCGAATTCGGAAGGGGGAGGTGTAGGACGGACTCCCCGCCGGGTTTTCACTCCGTCATAATTGAGCAATGCTCGGTCGAAGTGCCGAGCAGGGGGCTTCGCAAATACTACGGGGAGGAGCAGAAGCAGGTTACCGTGGTTTCTCGCCATTTCAGGCGCCGATTACCCGGGGGCTTCGCAAATACTACGGGGAGGAGCAGAAGCAGGTTACCGTGGTTTCTCGCCATTTCAGGCGCCGATTACCCGTCACTTCCCGTCTCACCGCCCGGGCCTGGCCAGCTCAGCTCGTGCTGCTTGGCCGACGAGTCGACGGAGGCGCTAACGGACGGTCACCTCGGCGGCCACAGCGTTCGGCCAACCGGACGCCGCGAGCAGATCTCAGTGTCGAGTCAGCAGCGGCGGCGGTGGGGTGGGGAGGACTCGGCGCCGGTTTCAGGCGGAAGAGAAGCGACAATTGTCGCCCGGGGACCAGTGCGCTGCCGATTTGCCCGGCGGGTGCTGTCGACGTCAGCGACAGGAAACTACCCGTCACGGGCAAGAAACGACGGAGAACTTCGTCGCGGCGTCGCATGATTCGCACGTCGCCTCCGCCGCACCGCAATTGGCTCCGGAATGCGCACGTTCCGGCCCTAATCGCTTTCACGGCAGCGCCTGGCTTTCCGGCACAGGAATCCTCAGCCCGGTCCACGAGAAGCGCAACGAAGGCACCAGCTCTGCCCACGAATCCGGAGATGGCAGAGGAAGATCCAGTACTGCAGCCAAGGAATGATTTCTGGATGGTCGAGCCCTTTCATTCGATTTCAGCTTCGCCTGTGAGGAAGGTTCTGTCACGAAACTGTCCACTCTGCTGCGATTGGCGGCTTGGCATCTGGCATACAGCAAAAGAATGAATTGTCGATAATCTGGGCTTTTTCTATGGAGGCACGCAAGGAGAGATTGGATCGGAATTCCATGATTTCAAGTGTTCGAGATCTGTACTCAGTTTCTCCGTTTGGCTGGTGTTACGGGTTCAATTAACAAGAGCATCTAACCTGCTTCGATACAGCCGGAATTTGAACGATTTTCTTTGCACAGAGGTTTCGATGTCTGGTGGGTGCCCTGCGTGCGCATCGTGTCTTTGGTATAGAGTCGGAGACTTCACGCTCTGGCTGGATCCGTCACATGACTTTTGTGCGTAGGCGACAGCAGAGCTTGGAAGGATTATTACAGTGTAAGATGATGCGAATGAGCATCACGAAGACGTTTCTCGAATGATTCATTGCCTATCCAGAAGATGCTCGGATTTTTTACCGGAAGAGTAATGATTAATTGAGCAGACTGAGCTGCAAGAGCCTAGGGCCAGCCGCAGATCCGTAAATAAATTTTGTGCCACAGAGAGCAAAAGCAACTGCAACGACAGATGACATTCGATTGATGCATGTCGTGGTCTTCTTCAGTAAAACCTTCTCACTCATTTCTCTGCAGGTGTGCTTCCCAAACACCAATTCCGGGGACTCTTACACGGATCTCGAAGAAACAATAGCAACTGGTTATGATGACTCGAAGTACTCTCCACAGGATCAACTTTGGTCACCAGTGTATGAAAAGTTTGTACAAGAGCATTCGTGAGGAGCCACAAATGCGGTGGAAATTTCACAAGTTGCTTCAGTCCGCTGAATTACAGCTGACTACTGACGCAATAAAAAATCACTGTTCTTTACTGAATTTTTTGGCGAACAATTTTATTAGTGCCAGCCATTTTCTATTACAGCTCACGGAAAGTGTCGTAGACACAGTTCTGTTACGTGTTCCAGCAAAGTACGTCTGCGATTCATAAGCTCTAACTTGCATTGAAAGCACTTGCATTCGAGCCGTCGCTAGCACCGAACAAAAATGAATCGTTGCGAAGAAAATCGATACTCTTGAAGGGACTTCTCACCTATCACAGACATCCTCACGCCATTTCCGTCGAAAACCTCCCTCTTTCGTTCCTTGCCTTCTCCGTCCATGTAAATTATGACTGACCTTGTCACGGCGTTGCTGTCACCATTCTTTTTTTCCATGTCTTTTTCACAGTCTGTGCTCCGAGCCCAATGTTATTGTCTAGCACCTCATAGATGGGGAATGCACTTCGAATTGGGGTCAGCGCAGGCATCGCTGCCTGGGTTCGAGGAAGATGCAGGTAAATATTTATACCTCTCGCCCCGAGCGAACCTCAGACATTTTGCCCAGAATGTCTGTTATATGCAACAAGCAGTAAGGTCAGCAGCACCTGCAGCATGTTCTCTATACGAATTAGAATTCTTCACCAAATTTTCTCTATTGTTCCCCAACTGATCGATAGTACTCACAATCAAGATCTGCATGGAATCCTCCACTGCTTGTACACACCGGCTCGAGCTAAGTGTTCCCAGACCAGACCTCTCACTGTGTTGAAATTTCCATGTCACAATTCCATTCTGAGCGAGTTACCGCAGCATGTTTCTCAACATTTTGTTCCCTATTTTTGTAAGTGCATGGACTCAACCTCACTCAAATCCGTAAAACTGCTACACCGCTTCGGAATTAATCCTGAATTGATCGATAAGGAAGGTAGTTGGGCAGGATGCAGGAAAAGGTAAGCAAGTCAGGCCAAGGGGAATGTATGGACCTGACGAGTAAGACTTGTGTTCATAGACTCCACATTCTTGAGCCACGATGCTGTGATGCCGATGGATTGTCTTCTCGTTGGACATTTTCTGTTACATGGTCAATGCCTACACCGAATGTGGTACATAACCTTGATGAACGCAGATGATGCTGTTGATGAATCAACAGCATCACTAATTGCCAGATCTGGTGAAGCCCAAGAGGAAATAGCGCAGCCAATTCAGTGCTACATATCGTCATAACTCATGAAGACAACTTTAGCGTCAGTTGCAGAGATCTTCATCTCTGCTGCCCTTCCCGTGTTAAGGTCCTGCTGCATCAGCGCGGAAACGCTGTTTTCTGGTTCACTTTTGTCGAGAAGAAATAAGAATGGAGACAAATATTTTGAGCTTTTGTACCTTCTGCCCGCCCAACAATACCACACACCTGAACAATGCTAGACCCCGATCAACCACAATTAGAATCAGACAAAAGTAGAGCATCACATTCTTCACGAAGGCCAGGGACTGGTCCAATGACTTTTTCGACCAACAGAAACTCTTCGTCCGTCATTAATACCATCTGGATACCCAATTCCCCAAAATAAGAAGGTGAGCCAGATTCATTTGCGATGTCACTTTTATAGACCTATATTTATTCATACATATCTTCCTAGAAAACAAAAAATTTTACGTTTTTTGTAAGGTTTTTATATAATTAAATATATGAACGATTTATTCATACAAACTCTGTGTTTTCATATTAATGTAATGCATCTGGAGCTTGTGAACAGAATGTCAGTTGGCTCAAGCTTGTGGCCTCAAACTCTTTGGGCAAAGTTTGCAACGAGAAGTGTGGCGCAAGGTGCAAGTGTTTTTATTTATATAATGCCCAGAACAGAGCAACTGTCTGGACCTTACAAAAAAACGATAAATCTTTCTAGTCCCGAGAACATGGAGTGCAGCTACTGCAACAGAGTTCTGCAATCTGCTTGGGAAGAGGGCCAAAGCCGCCGAAGATCGGATGGCGAGTCTTTCGACATGGTGCTCACCGATCTCCAGATCGTGTCAATTGCCCGTGCCGTATTTACACCTTATCTGCGAAACGCGTACTTCAGTGATGAAAAAGAATCTCATGATGGGCGAAGATTCACAACCTGCTTCGGCCATTGGGAAAGTGGATGCCCACGAATGACAATGTGGAGCACGGCTGGAGACTCTGGCAACTCGAAAACGTAACCACAAGCTGACATGCTACTCTTCTAGCATGTTGACATTCATTCTCTTCTTCGAAAAGAGAAGAGTAAGATTTTTCCGATACGTACGTGATGGAAAAATACATAGAAATGCGTACGCGTAACTTTCAGCACATTGAAATATAGTTCAGATGAGATGTGGAACCTGTCTCAAGGTCAGCCTGCAGGTGATGTCAGTGACAAAATAGCCGGAGGGAGGATTGTCTAAATCCGCAGCAGTATGTTTCAGAGGAGCTCCATTGGCCACTGGAGTCCATGCGTTTGTTCAAGACTTCAGGTCAGACATGTAAGCAATGGACTTCTGCTGTTTTCTGCCCGGTATACATTTACCCAACCCACCTTCAAATGGAAGGATGTCGATAGGAAATTGGATTACCCTCTTCGTTTATATTTCTATTTCTCGAGAATTACAAAGTTAAACCTCCCAATACTGTCAACTCTTATCAGTGACATACTCTCATTAGTGACGTAAAATCCCAGAACCATTAGTTTCTAATATGTAAATCTGTTCAATAATAACGGTATTTCACTATTCCCAATAGTGGGATGATACTATACAATAGTGACAATTTCAAATGTAATTTCAAAATAAAAATTTCTATCATTATCACAATACATAGTTATAAGATTACAAAAATGTGGCATAAATATATTTAAAGGTATATCTCAACAATTCACACTTTCTGGATTTAACTAAGGGTTTAGGTTTTAACCCTAAACCCATAATTTGCTACATATATTATCATTAATTCTTTCATTCATATATGTGTGTATTAATCTAAATTTAAATGTAATTATAATGTCCATGTTGACCATACAGATGTGGAAATGAAGGCCATTTTGAAACCAAACAACAAATTTATAGAATATCTTAGGTTGATGCAATGCACGATAAGAAATCTATGAAATTTTAATTTTTTTAATTGACAACTCCCAATAGTGACATCTAACCCCAACACCTTATATGTTACTATTAGGAGGTTAAATTAAAATTATGCAACTCCCAACAATAACATTTAATGTTAACACCAATGTATGTTACTATTAGGATGTTATACACACTTTACTCTTGTGAGTGGCACGTAAAACCCAATTACCAATATATGTCACTATTGGGAGGTTTAACTCTGTACTGCAAAATGGACAAGAAATCTTTTGACTTATAACTCTTATGATTCTCTACCTCCTCGATGACGATGATGGGGAGACGATGAGACTCCTTCACAGGTTCCACCTCGACGGTTTGCCGGTTCGATGGCGGTAGATCGCAAGAAAACATATTCCGGACCATCTAATTTATAAACAAGGCATCTCCATGTCGCCTTCAAGATGTGTTACCATACTAGCTCTCTCCAATTTCGGTGTCGTTTCTCTCTCATACTGCGAGAGTTGACAACAAAACTCGGTGACCGATGAACTTCATAAAGTTTGGAAGTCCCTGCGATCAGAACAGGAGGTAGCATCTGAACACAATCATTTTTTCCTTCTTATTTGTTAGATTATTATTATTTAATTTTTTGGATTTCAAGATTTTAGATCACACCACATCTTTACTTGGATGTACAAAAGGCGGACCATGTTAATGGCAATTCCTGAAGAGTCCTGAAGAGGATCCACGCACGGTTGCCTGTACTCAACTACGAGGGGTTTGGCATGGTTCAGTGTTTCTGCTGAGCACTGTACCACGGCAACTGTGTTGGGGAAGAAGACTTCCAAAAAGTTCAATTCTTAGTCTCTGTCGTCATCCCGTGCACAGGTATCTGCCGCGAGTGTGGTTGAAATGTTGCTGAGTTGCTCAATGTACAGAACGGAGGTATGTATTCAATTCTCGGGTATGTATTTGAGTTATTTGTTCACTGTCAGGAGCTCAACCTCCACATCATGGATGGAGAGAATTTCTCGATCTTCGATCCACTGAAGAGTTCTAAGTTCTAAGACCTCACGAAACTTGCAGTAAGCACCAAGAACGAAACTCGAATAAAACTTTGAATCTGGACGCTTTCTTCAATCAGTCACATCTTGTCTAGAATTGATTACCCTATTAAATGATGATACATACCTGTGGAAGAGACTTTCACGACAAGAGCTTAATCGATTATAAAAGAAAATAAACTACAATAAGTTCATGAGCAGAACACCCCTGGAATTGATTACATAGGGCTACATAGAAGGGACACAAGCTGGGACACAAGGAAGCCGTGTGGCCCTGACTCGATGACCAGGTCTAGGTAGAATAGTTACATGCTGTATCAAGAGCCTTCAACAATTCCTGAAACTTAGACTGCAGGGGTCTACATAATTAATATTTCATTTCAGTAAGGGAATCAAGTTATTAATTCTATTGTCACGTGCAGGTTTGGCCATCAAGTCAACAACCTATTCCGAAGTAGTATCTTTCCCAAGTTGATGGACAGAGACTAAAAACGAAATTTCAATTAAGCCAAATCTGATGAAAATAATATTTTTTAAGTCATAAAACCTGATATTGAACTGTACAACATTCGTGTAATCTTCTTATAGACATAGAAATCACAAATAGATTAAGTGGCGCTTGTACTACCTGCCACATACTCAATCCCGGTACTATCCAACCCACGTTTTCAATTGAAATGGCCAACTCAGAATAATACCAACTGTTGAGACATATGGAAGTTGATAATATTGTTGCTTAGCCACCAGCCCAGTCAAGGTCTGAAATGGGACAATATAATGCCTAACCTCATATATTATATATTCTAAAAGTCTCTTCCTGCCTGCTGTATGCTTGTTGATCATGTATTTTCACTAAACACGAAAGAAGGTGCTAAGTCATGTTTGCTGCGCTCAATAGCCCAACCAAAAATACAAAATATGTGATTCAGCCCATATGTGATCAACTTCTGCTTTGAGTGGGTTTGGCCCCTCTTTTCCAAACAATGAAGAAAGTTGTTTCTTTATTTTCATCCATCTCAGAGTTACAATCCGGGTGATAAAGATTGTTTTATTGATCAAAATGCCTTAGTTTACTTGCCAAAGGGCATTCCTTGACTGGTCATGATTGGTGAACTCTTAAGATTGAAGAATGTACTAGAAGTAGAAATTTCATTGATATCAACACGAATTCAAAGTACCAAGCTTAGCAAGGTTCTGGCATCTAAAAAGAATGTACTAGAAGTAGAAATTTCATTGATATCAACACGAATTCAAAGTACCAAGCTTAGCAAGGTTCTGGCATCTAAAATTAATGCATGATCTTACATTACCTAAAAAAATCACACGATATGGAATAAGTATAACTTCCATCATATGAATTCAACTTAGTATTGTACTCACATGATTC